ACACGAGAGAGAGAGAGAGAGAGAGAGAGAGAGAGAAGAATTTGCCGTTTATTAAAAATCAGATCGTATCTCCGCCTCAAATTAAATCATTCTCACGGTTCGCTTTGAAATAACGAGCGAAAAAGCTTTCGTTACTTTATTCATTTTGAAAGTTCATTTTTATTTTGCCAGGTTATCTTCTTTCAGCCGGGAACTTTTCGACGGGCGAATTAAGAATTACGCGTTGAAGTAGATCAATTTCATTGCCACGGATATTCCGCTGTTAAATCGAAATGCCTCATTCCGCCTTCGTAATTGTAACGCGGCGGGAAACTGGAATTCCCGTAGCGAGGAAAGTTCCCGGAGATAAAATAAAGGGAGTTGCGCCCGCGGCTGCGTCCCGTTTCATCCCTCACCTCGTTATCCACCGTAGAATTCACGGGATATATGATAGAGGGTATGGAGTGGAAAAAAGAGAAAAGATTAAGCGATCTCGTGGAACGGGGGCCTTCTGCGGTTCATTGCGACTCTTTGATGTCGATCGCGAAAGTGGCGAAGTCAAAAGCTGCCTCTATGCCGGGAAACGACACCGTCTCTGAATAGCGTCTCTGATTTTGCGCGAGGCTACACATTAAGGGAGAGAAAAATTAATAACCCGCCGATACTCTTCTCCATTCGTCAAGAGGAAGGAATCCTCCCTGAGTCTGAAATAGGCGCCGTGATATTAATATCGGAGCGGAAAAAACGAGACACCGCCTAATGTGCCAATCGATAAACTGTATGGGTTCCTTCGTGATTCGTATGGCTTTTCAATGGCTCCTGCAGCGCGCTGCAAGCAAATAAAAACTTTTGATGATGTAACCACTCGTTCATTTATAGAATGTTTTCCTTCTGGAATTTTGAGAAGAAGTGAAATCCAGTGAAATTCAATGAAATTTAAATAATTTTTGAAATCTTTAAGGACTATTTACTTTTTATCTCACACTTGGATTCTTGCGGTTGAAGACCGTTTCTCCTCCTTTCCAGGAAAGTTCCATCTACATCTTCGTGACCTTTGAAGATCTAAGGAAATCACTCTGACAATCCTGGGCGAGAGGAACCGTGAAGCGTTACACACAGCGTGTATCTCCGTTCTGCCTTTCGCCTCCGTGCATAGTAACACGGTAATAAACTGCACTACAACAACGTTGATGCATAATCTAATGGTGTGTGCCTTGGTAAGGCACAAGAGAAGGGTGACCGCCTCACAGACAGTTAATTGCAGCAGCGCGCTTCCGTCCTCTCTCTCTGTCTCTCTCTCTCTCTCTCTATCTCTTTGTCTGTGCTGTGCGTTACATTTTATTGATCTATCCCAAACTAGATCAATCTTTGATTTCTCCTGGAAATGCATCTGGATCTGAATTAAAATAAATTACTCCTGAGATATTCGTGGAAATAATATTCCTAAAATGTTTCCCTCGATCAAACAATTTAACGACCATTAATTTCAGATTCTTTTTTTTTCTTCCTTTTGTCATTAACGGTTCATTAACGGGTAATGGGGAAATGTAATATCCGCGAAACTTTAGAAATCACTAAATTACATCGATACACCGTTGATGCGTTTAAAGATGGTGAACGCGGCGCGCGTGTGA